TGGGGTGCGCAAGGTATGGGGAGCTGGGTGGCACCCCGAAATGCGAGTCGACGTGCTGCTCGCCTTAACCTGTGAGGCTCCAAACCGCGCCCCAGGCCCAGGTTTTCGACTTTGCACGAGCGTCCCGCTCGCCGGAGAGACTTCTCGGCTGAACTGCCGAGGATTTAGCCCTGTGTCTGATAGTGCGAGCCCGAGACGTGAATCACACCGCTCGCCTTCTCGGATTCGGCCGGCCTCGAGGAAAAATCCGCCTGCGCGGTGAACATGAAGCCATGCCCACAACTGCCTCGGTAGCCGAAGAACAAGTGAAAGATGCTCCAGTAGCCGCGCACCTAGAGAAGAGCTGCTGTAAGGGCCTTCAGATAGGACTGCTGGCCAACCAGGTCAGCGGGGTTTTTAAAAGTGACTAATACCTAGTGTCATCCGAAGAGAGGCATTTGGGGCATCCTGCTTTAAAATTTTAAAAGCTACTAATTGAAAGCAGATTGGAAAGTAGTAAGGGAACATCTAAAACTATTTTAAATACAACTGACAGGCATTTTCTAGAAATATGGGATGAATCGCATATAGAAGGAACTTCAGAGCAGGAGAGTTAAGGCGAGTGCTTGGATCTAACTCATTAAAAACAAACAAACAACAACCTGCCATGCAGTGGATTCCAATAAACAGTGCAAATATTCGCAGGACCTGATTCCTGATAGATCTTTCTCCCTCAGAGAGGCTGGTGGGTTTGAACCACCAACCTTCCATTTAAAAGCCTAACTTGAAATCCACTAAGCTAAAGGTATAGAATAGAATGAGTCCCCTTCACATTCGTAAACTAGGATGATTATTCGGGAGGAATGTTCATAAATGTAACAAAATATATGTAGCTCTCATTCATTTTTATTTTGTTGTTTCAATTGCCTCTGTATATGTATTTGTGCACTGAATAGTTACGCTACAGTGCACCCAACAAACGATTACAAGGGACGGATACCTTCATTTTCTTTCTGCTGTATTTCAGTATTTTTAAAATTTTATTTTATTGGGGGCTCTTACAGCTTTTATTATAATCCATACATAGATCCATTTTGTCAAACACATCTGTACATATGTTATCATCATCTTTTTTTTTTTTTTTTTTCAGCCTCCGTAGAGACTGTCAAAAATTGCCAATGCCGACTATATTTCAAGTCGTCACGGCGGGGTATTGGGAAAAGTTTTCAATTAGCAATAATCGCACCTCAGATAAACCTCACTGGCTACGATATTGCCACTGCGCAAAGCTGTTATCATCATCTTTTTGAAAACATTTTCTTTCTACTTGAGTCCCTGGCATCAGTTCCTCATTTTAACCCCTCCCTTCTCTACCCTCCCTCACCCATGCCCCCTTGATAATCTAGAAATTATTCTTTTTTTTTTCATGTCTTACACAGACTCTGTCTCATTTCACTCACTTACCAGTATACATGTTTTGGCCTAGCCAGATTTGTAAGATAGAATTGGGGTCATGGTAGTTGGGGGCAGGGAGCATTAAAGACCTAGAGGAAGGTACTGCACCCTGGCTGGCTCTCTCTTCCTTGTGGTCCTTTTGACGTGGGGTGGGGGGGGTCCAAATACTGTACTTCAGTATTTACTTACAACAAGCAAGTATGACCTTTCTGGGTTTTTTGCTTTGTTATAAACACAATTAGTAAAGGACTTCAGGCTCATCATTTTTTTCGAAGAACATAAGATGTTGAGTAATAAAAATGAAAACTCTTTTCTCCCGGGATATGGGAGCTTCTCTTTATCTCTCCCACAGTTGACCACTGGTAATAGTTTGATTATATTGTTCTAGACATTTTCCTAGGTAATTATGTACATATTTAGCATGGGTAAGAAAAAATACATTGTTATAGAATCATATCAAAATGTGAAGCTACTGTTTCTTAATGTATCCTTCTAGGTATCTGTTACTTCTGAAGGCAGTGTTTCCATTTGGTGATGTGGGCTATGCACTGAGCTGCTAACTGCAAGGTCAGTGGTTCAAACCCATCAGCCACTCCATGAGAGAACGATGAAGCTTTCTGAAGGCTCAGAAACTCAAGGGGCAATCTACCCTCTCCTATAGGGTCACCGTGAGTTGGAACTGACTCATTGGCATTCTCCAGGGACTCAAATTGAGTTCCTTTTAATTTTTGTTGGCATGTTTGTGAACAAAGAAAAGTCTGAAGGAGAAAAAAATCAGCTGTAGGCGAACAGACTCCGATTTCCCAATAAAATTCTGATGGAACGGCCCTGGCTACCTTGGGAAAATGAGCAGGTGCATCGTGACAGGAAAAAAAAAATTCTGGCACAATTCCTTTCCCGACCTTTTTTCCTCACCCAAACAGTTTTTATTTTTCTTAAAACTTCCTGGTAAGCCCCTGTGATCGACCTGTGTCCTTCGAGAAAATCTACCACAATCACCCCTTTGGGGTACCAAGAAACAGTCACCACAATCTCTGAGCTGACCTCTCTGCTTTGAATTTAACTGGTCCAGCAGATCCCCCTAGGAAACCACTGTTCTGATTGGACCTTAGAGAGAGAAAGATCCATCCAAAGGAGACTAAGACAGGAACTTGTCTGCAGCCCTCCACCAATCACGGAGATGAGGTTAAAGCTGTTTTGTTGGGAATAAACATACATGTGTACATGTACGGACAGGAACCCTGGCAGCAATGCTCTTGACTCATCCATGTACATATACAAACACTTGGGTTTGCTGTTACACTAAAAGGATCGTACTGTTCGTTTTGTGGTGTGATATGTTACTTTTATGTGTTTTTAAAAGTTAACTAGTTCTTCCTGTGGACCATTAAATAAAAACCTATTGTATTAGTTTCCTGTGGCTGCTATAACAAATGACCACAAACTTGGCAGTTTAAAACATCAGAAATAAAAATAATAAAACATCAGAAATGTATTATTCTCTCACAGTTCCGGAAGCCAGTCAGAAATTAGTTTTACTGAGGAAAATCAAGTTGTCAGCAGAGCCACACTTCATCCCAAGAATCTAAGGGAGATTCTTTTCCTTGCCTCGTCCAGATGTGAATGGCTACCACGTTCTTTAATTTGAACTAGCACTTCATCTCTGCCTCGGTGGTCACAGGGTGCCTTCTCTCTGAGTCAAATCCCCCTCTGCCTCCCTCTTCTAAGGAAATTTATGATGCCATTTAGAGCCCTCCCCCCACCCCCTGAGATAATGCAAAACAATCTTTCCATGGCAAGATTTTAAATTAATCAAACATGCAACCCACACACACACACACACAATTGGCCTTATAAACTAATAGTCACAGTGTCCAGGGATTAGATTGTGGATAAATCTTCCCATACCATCATCAGCCAAATGCACCTTTCAACCTCGAAGAAATGCAAATCAAACAACATAGAGATCCCATTTTTCATCTATCAGATTGGCAAAGGAAGAAAAGAATGTTAACACCCAGCATTGGCCTAGGTACTGAGAAATTTATATAGCTACTGGGCATGCCACCATGTAACACATCTGAAGGGAAAACTGGCAGAACAGCCGGCCCTCCAGAGCTGAGGTTTCTGCATACATGAATTCAATCAACCAAGGATGGGAAATATTGGAGGGGTGGCGGAGGAAGTAATTAAGTAGTCAAAGCAGTGCTGTTTACATCACATTTACATTGTATTATTCTATGTGGTCTAGAGAAG